GAAACTTTATAGCGCAAATTATATTATATAACATGTATATGTAGGTTGGTATGCGAAAAGAACTGGCCATCTAGTGACTAAACATGAATAAATAACAATATAATTTGAACTATTGTCTCTAAGATATATTGTTATATACTGAAGAAAATAATGTTGTAAATCGAACTTTTTACTTCGGAGAAAATATATATAAATTTGCTAAACAACAGAGTGTGGAATAACAGCTAAATAAATGAAATAAAGAAAATAATATTAACCTTTGAACTACATACTGTGGAAAAATAATAGGTTGTGAAGATTGTATTATATAATGAACCAACAATTCATTATGAATATTTATTAGATCTGTAAATGTACAGGTTAAATTTTAATTTTCTTGTAATAGAACTGAACATCTGCAGATTAAGCTATTGAATCACTTTTAAATGGTGTTGAACTAATAAACCTCTGACTAAAAACACCGAATGTCTGCAAATTATCCTATCGAATCAGTTTTAAAACTTCTCAGTTTGAGTATTAAGCGTATGCAATGCACCAAATAATCTTAATTTCAAGGAACAAAAGATATATATAATCAATTGTCTTTCTCTACTTAGTAAAAAACATGGGATGTCGTAAGAAAATGAAAAGCTAAAAAAGTAACCATAAAATAACAGAGGAATCGATACACAAAAGCTAAGTCAGTAAAAATAATTATGACACGCGTTATTTGTAGATGCGAGTAAACCCTTACTAGAAATGTGACGTGCTGGTGTTGTCTGGCTGATCTTTCGTTTCAATTGTATGTAAGATCCTCTTGAAAATGGAAAAAAAATTCCATGTAGGTTATAGTTGTATTCACGAATACAGTTTCTAAAGCGTTTTAGGTTTGGTTATTGAAAATGTAAGTAACTGTCGTATACATAATAAGTTACGATGTTTACTGTCCAACTAGTTGTAGCGCAGTTCTCAACATTAGTTGAGTTAATGATTTAGTTCTTATCCTACTGGAAGCTCTCCACATCATCAGCAAGAAAAATACTTTTAAAACATCTATACGGTTCTGAAATGTGAGCCTAATATTCAGAGGAGGTCGGGGTCAAAATAATATTAATTAGTTATCACTAAAATGTTCTTACATTTTGTAATAGTTTGTCGGAATAAGTGTTCAATTATTGAACTGAAATTCAAAACTTCTGCCTAAGAAACCAAAGGAGACACATCTTAACCTTCATGTATCTTTCGGTCTTCTCATGGAACATTCTTTTCAAAGTAATTTACCGTTCGAAGAATAAACTATATTCCAAGCACAGAGTAAGGTAATTAGACATATTCTGTAAAATCCAAATTAATAAATAATAATAATTTACTCACGACGATAATAAAACTAGCTTATTGGAATTCACCACGGTGGGACTGAGTAAAGTATACCCTGAACACAAACAAGCGTTACTTACATTTTTATACGAGGTGACCTTGTCGAGCTATTACGAACTTTAAAGCAATTTCATTACATAATGATATTTTTAGCATCTCCAGAACACAAAGCTATTTCTTGCTCTAAACAGAATTAGGGCAGACTTTGTAATTGTGTCTTCTATAACGTAGTCTTAACATCCTCCTGTTCTATAACAAATTTGAGAAGATAATGACCGTCACACATTTTTTTTCGTGATCACAGTTCGTTACCTCTAGCGGATTTTGTTTTAATTACATTAGTCATAAGCTGTATTTTAATCTAGATTATAGGTTTGGGCTGAGTATTAAGCCTATATTAATATATGTAATCAGCTATATCTTAATGTAGTAAAGGAAACATATACATCTTGATATAAGATATAAGTAGGATCCTAAAATAAATAATAACATTTATCCTATAACGCAAACAATAAGGCTTATCTTAATGTTGGTAATAAGTAGTGACTTAATACAGAAAATAAACTTTACATTAATAATTTATTTTTATATAAGGAAGAAATTATGTATAAATAAAGAAATAAACTCTAGTTATAAGGAAAATGTATTATTTATGAAACAAGCTATATGCATACATAACGGATATTTATGAAACAAGCTATATGCATACATAACAGATAATAAGCATCACTTTAAATTGCAACATAAACCATATCGATAATAGATGAGAGGTAGTACTTCAGAAAATGTAGTTTTTAGATGTTATATTAAGTAAAATGCATATTATGATAATCTAGGACTGTATTACGACGTTAATATTGTTACGTATTAATAGAGAACTCTTATATTGCCATTATTTTAATTTCTAACAATAACATTCAATTGATCTATTTATCTTCCCTTTATGCTTGATAAGATCAATACTGAATATAGTAGCAATAAAACGAGCAAGTTCCAGTAGTTCAAAAAACAAGATACTTCCCTAAGGAATTTTCTTGAATAAGCCAATATCAAAGGGTGTTAAAAATTGTTTCTTCTGCTCTTACAAAGAGATTTTGTACCATATATATATTACAAAGGTTGGGATATTATTATTTTTTTCTTTATGGTGTTTTGTTGTTAAAATCACACGAATGCACTGAAACTAAATATTGCACCCCCTTTTTTTCGCTTTTCTCCTAGCAACATCTCATGTTTAAAGATGACCAACTTTATTTAGTTTTAGTAAAATATTTAATTCATATTATCATAGTACAGACGTTAAATGTGCTTTTAAGGAATGATTTACATGTTCTCAAGCAACAGCGTGAAAACATATTTACCATCTATACACACTCTTTACATTTGGTTCACAGCAAATTTTCGACCATTCGACAGTGAAATATCTCCATATTGAGATCTTCATGGACGCAGAAAACTCGCATTTATGAAAGATTAGGACTTGAAAACCACATACTAAACCAATCCAGTGTAACACCCTCACCCACAAAGTGAAACTATAGTTGAAAAGATCTCCTGATACTCTTAACAAAATAATAAACGGTAATTTAAGGTTGACGAATACTCTGAAACTAAAAGTTCACAAGCTTCCAGTATACTTCAAAATCAATGGCTATCTTCGTTAGAAAGATGGCCAAAGTAACTGAAACTACAGCTATCAAATTCGAATATTTTCCCGTTTAAGTCAGTAGATACAGCTTCAATAAACTTTTGCACCTAGTGCACAATCAATGCCACCAGACTGAACACAATTGATGTTGAAAAAAGTAATCCCAATGGATGCATAGAATCTTGATCACCGTTCTTATGAGATGCAATTAACCCTCGGTATTATATTTAGAGTTATGGTTAGTATTGATTCAGAAGAGCCCAAGGCGTCACTTGCATGCTTAGAAGTTAAAGTAGAAGTGTCAAAAAACATGTAAGGCCATTATCAGGGTTGAACCGGTCATGGCCTGATTGTATCGGAGAGTTCACGGTCCATTACCATAAAAATGGACTTCCACACTTTGGAACCCCGAATGCACTATATCAGTGACGGTCAAATCCCACTGTTCGGTCAGACAATAGTAACCCAAGAGTTGACTAGCTACCTGCCTCCCGTATAATCTATCGGTTGAAAATTAGGGTCAGCTATGCACAATAACCTTTAAGTAGCTCTTCGGAAAAATTCTAAAAAACAAGCAAAAAAATTAGTTCCACATTGAAATTATATATATATCTGTCTATCAGTTTACATACACAAACTATTTAATTATGTTACATACTTATTTTGTAAGTTAAAAATAGTTCTGCTCTATTTGAGTTTATATGTATAGTATATATGTAAACATATTATATACGTACATGTGTTTGTGAGTGTATACCCATTTCCAACGAGCCTTAGCAAATCAATTTAATTAAGTTGTATCCAGCGCGTTGAGTTATACACGTCAGACAATAAAAACCGTTGTTTTGCTCACAGTACACTTCATTAGATCTGAGATATTAACGAGATCTACGTCATTCCCTCATTAAAAAACTTAATGCGTGACTGTGTACTAGGATGTAAGACAGTATTCGATGCGTTATGCCACGCGTCTTCGTTCCTGAACTTTGCCCTCCAGCTTTGACTACTTTTTAATATACTGTTTTTGACTCTTTGAATATAACTTTAATGTTATTTAAATTCTTTTGCGAGATAAAAATTGAAGAATTAAGAAACGGGTTGTTAGTTTTATGTGAATAATTACTTTTGTTCTGGGCTCCAAATACTGCGTCAGTTTCCACAAAATGTCGACGATAGTTTTTAGGGAAAACACTAATCAACATCAAACAATGTAAGAAATAATTTGTAATATATTACAAAATGTAAACTTTCTGAGGTTACGTGAAGATTGCACTGAGTTATCAAATTGCATTATTTTTTTTTTATTTTACGCGTAAGGACTGGTTGATTTTTACCATTGGCTACGGAAACTAAGAAGTAACTGTCTTGGCCTAATAACGGCGCCTGGCAACAACAGTAAAACGCTTAGAAATGGCAGACTCATCCTCCGCAAATGGAAGTCTACAAAACTCTGCGTGACGACATCACCCGAAGCTTGCTCGTCGGTTCCCGCTCCAAAAGGCACCAATTCAGAGCAAGCTTGTGACGACAATATGACGTTTAATTTTCGGAAAACTTCGGATGCACTCACTACCATATATGGGGAATGTTGGCGTAAAGCCGAAAGATGATAATTCGTTAAAGGCACGTGTTCAGAAAGAGATTATTTGGCATTCCAAAACCTCTATACACCGATCGAAGCTCTTATAATACAAATATCATGTTAATAATTTATTATTTAGTCTCTATACTGCATACTTCAGGCACAACGATGTAAGATATGTACAGGAAGGAAAGACAGCGAGTCTGTGTACGTGCACTGCGTAAACAAAAACTTGAATAAATGCCAATTTTCTTTAGCCGTAACGTCATTTTGACGTTTCTACGTAGGTAGATAGAGTTTGCTCTTATTGGTTGATTAGTAAGTTCCGGTTGCCATATATGGAAGAGACACGCGGTGGCCTTCATTCATGAGGCTTGTTTCATTCAGCTGACGTATAACAAAGTACACTCAGAGACGAGGTTAGCAGCAGTGAGAGCTGAGCTTTCCACATGATAGGAGGTCGAATGGTAAACTCTTGCTTTCAATGTTAATGTCAAGGAAGAAGTAACCTGCTGACAAATGACCCCACGATAACTGACAATAAACAACCGTGTCTTTTGGAAATAGGTTCTTGGCCGCGGGGCGCGTGCCGGTGTCTCTCACTTGTGCCACTGTGGAGGTTTCTACGGGAAACCCGTAACGATCTTTAGCATGATTATGGACGCACTTGACATCCTTTCCCGTACAGTGCTGAACGATCACAGTTTTAATCAAAACTTTGAAAGTTACAAGCTTTTCTTTTCACCGTCGGTCCATACATACGACAGAACGTGCCAGTTTAATACCGAGACGGGCACGGACTCTTCGCGTGAATCCCCCGGTTCTTTCTGTGAGGCGATGCCGGACGCTCCTGACGATATTTTCAATACTACAAACTTCGTCCCCACTGAAGAACAAGCATTATACACTTACTCTACTTCAGGTAAGATGATATTCCACGTCAACTCTCTCTCTCTCTCTCTCTCTCAGAAATGTTATGTTCTGACCTTGTCTTGAAATGTTTAATCTTAAGAGTTTAAAGTGTATTACACTTTTTTCTTCCCGTGTCAGTTGCTATTCTGCTTAAGTCGGTCTTTTTCTTCTTACTAAATAGGGTATTTTCTAAATAAAATTATTGAATGAAAGGTAGTTGTCCTTCTTACACCATTCAAAGAAGAAACAGGTGGTTGAGACATCACGTCTTGCCCATTAATAACAGAGAAAGGACGTGGGTGTTAACTTGATCAGAAAAACTTTTCTGGCCCATATATATGTGTGTGTGTGTGTGTGTTTTAAGACTGATCGTGGATAATTTCTGGTGAAAACCTCCTCAATTAACGTACAGTTAACTTTATCTTGGGATGTGAGAAGACGCCTGCTAGGCCTGCCTGATTTACAGCTTCCCCGCGTAGTTCCGCTCCAACACGATAAAAAACGGTGACGCGAGAGAGTATTGACGTTTTCAATCTAGTGCGCAGTCTCAGAATATAAATTTGTTTGTTTGATAGAGAGACGTGTAAATGAAAACCGAAGAAAACGTAAGACCATAACTACAAGTCAATATCCTTAATATCTTAATCTCTCAATTTTTGTTAGTGTAATGTACGTTACACTTTTTACCGAGTAAACACTATTGTTGCACCTCTAGTGTCGATCTCGCGAACTAATCGTGATGACAACCACTGTACAGTGAGGGGAGGAGTTTACCGCTAAGCAAGTAGAGGAGGGGAAAGTAAATCAACAATGTTCTTGCCTAGTATGTATTCTTTCTCTGGGCCAAAGAAAGAAAGATTTCGTGTTCCCACCAGTCAATGGGGTTTGTACCTTTACAATACAGTTGGGCTACTGTGTAAACATCTTGTTTAGAATCTCATGAGATTGAAATAAATTTGGTTAAGAAGTGAAGTATAATGCTAAACGCGAAGATAAGCACCAAAAATATCCCATTTTAGGACTAAAATGAAAACAATATCATATGGAAGATTTTAATTAACCTATTAGTGTTACACTGTTACTGTTCAAGACTCAGGTTGTGCGAAACAAAAGCTAATACTCTATTGGACATTATACTTATGGATGTAAATTACTTGTGGTCTTTAAACAGTCGACAATAGACCTGTAAAGAGTCTTGAATAGTCTTTCTTAATACGTAAGCAATGACATACAAATTCAAAAACAAAAACTAATTCAACTACCAATTTTTTTTTTTTGCAACACCTAAACAGCCACATATTATATGGTTCTTATTAATACCATAAACCAGTATACCGTATTGTTGATATTTTACTGTTTTACAAGTACTATTACAACTGGAACTTACATCATTGTTCTTAATACAATAATAACACCAACTGTATTGTTGTTATTAGTATAATAATGTCACATTGTGCTCTTGTTCATAATTGCATAATGACACTACAAAAATACTCTTATTTTAACACCATAATAACATCACATACTGCTATTTTTTGTAGTAACATAATAACGCCACAGTAGACTCTTGTCCTTAATCCCGTAATAACGTCATATTGCGTTGTTGTTGATAAAATCACAGTTAAGTCACATTGGGCTGTTGTTAGTAATAGAATAGTATCACCACTTTGGGCTGTTGTTAGTAATGGAATAGTAAAGTAACATTGGGATGTTGATAGTAATAGAATAGTAACGTAACATTGAGATGTTGTTGGTAATAGAATAGTAAAGTAACATTGGGATGTTGATAGTAATAGAATAGTAACGTAACATTGGGATGTTGTTGGTAATAGAATAGTAACGTAACATTGAGATGTTGTTGGTAATAGAACAGTATCACCACTTTGGGCTGTTGTTAGTAATGGAATAGCAACGTAACATTGGGATGTTGATAGTAATAGAATAGTAAAGTAACATTGGGATGTTGTTGGTAATAGAATAGTAAAGTAACATTGGGATGTTGTTGGTAATAGAATAGTATCATCACATTCGCTAATTCGGAGGAACGATAAATTAAACTCGCGGTAAAAATACATTCTATGATAACCAATGATAATAATATCTTTATTTTAACACCCATACATTTTTTTAAAAAAACCTTCCTTTATTTCTTCAAATTAACTAAAAAGAATTTGCATACTGATCCGAACTTATGCTGAGAAAAATGGAACAAGGCAGAATTTCTTTTTTTTATATTGATATATGTTTGAAACATACTACATTTTAATTTAACAACTCAAAATTCTTTGAAAATATTTTCCGTTTTATTTAGGACTACTTTAGATGTAACAAGCTAGCAGATAACAAGCTAGCACTCCGTTATAGATCCTTACTGTGCCGCCTGTGCGAGGTCAAGCGCTTTGTCAAATCAAGGCCGATAGGTCACGAAGAGAAACAAAATATGATAGTATAAATGCTAAAGCGTTGTTTGAAGGTAAATAAAAGTTATAATGATGATGTTATACTACATATCCAGTGTAGTGTTGTTGTTGTTTTTTAAAGAACTATGGTTTCAGTTTTCTCCTTCCAAAAAATGGATATGCTATTATTATTTGTGTAAGCCTTTCTTCCGGTAGGTGAAGCATTCATCTCACAAGCACATTCGTACAAAGACGGGCCGAGCGTGGTTCAGTGGCTAGCGAGCTGGATTGTTGATTTGAGGATCCAATGTTAGCGTCCCATTACCGCACTTTGAGGTTGTGAGAAACATTCAAACCCACTATTATATCGAACAAGCTTACACCAAGAGCTGATACGTGGATGCTATTAATTAGCTGTCTTCCCTCTAGTCTATCAGTTCAAAATTAGGGACGGCTAGCACAGATAACCCTTTAGTAGCTTTGCATGAATCATCGAAAACAAACATACAAGTTCGCATTGGATGTTCGAATTTCTTTTTGAATATGTGACTACTGGGATTACTATCTTTAAAGTCAAGGTAGAAAATAGACCCACGTTTCCTACAGTAAATGATTAGAAAACCTTCTAACATTGTAGGACAGAGTGTCATGCTTCAAATTGCTATAGTTATAGTGCAGACGAGCTTAACAGAAGTTATTAAAAAGTGTTTCTTGAGTTTATCTACTCAAGGTTACCCTGATTAACGAATTGTATTGCTCATAGAGGAAAAATGGATTGTTATATCAACAACAACAACAACAACAAAAAGAGTCTGATTGTCATACTAAATATTATTCTTTATTCTGTTACAGTGATTTTTTTCGTGCTGTTTACAACATCTTAAGATAAATAAAGCACAATACATGACTACATTATTTTCTTAATCTGGTTGCAGCACAAATTTTTAATTTAATGTTAGGTTAACTCAATGATGATACATATCACCACTATAAACTTACCAGTGTTGTTTTTCAGTGATATACCCATTAACTTATTTGAGGAATGAAATCAAGCTTACCACGTGTATAGTCAATGTTCAAAGTTGGTTTCAAACCCAAATGAGCAGATAAATGTGCACAAGTTTGTTCCGGTAATTACGTTACATTCAAAGCTAAGCTCAGTTGGCGTTGAGTGGTCGGCTGTTATTACTTCTATGTACTGAATATATGAGAAAATTATGAATATGAATGTTATTTGTCGAACGCTTAAATATCATGATTTAAAAATATAAGGTGATAGTTCGACATCGTTTGACAAAACCTTCAGAATTTAATATATCAAGACCGAAACTGGATTTGATACGTGTATGCACGCCATCCAATGGTTAGTGGACGCACTAGGCCACGAGCTCGTGTGCACGAGGGAGGGGTCTTCTAGTGCCAGGTGAGCCATAGGTTGTGAGCACATACTGTAATTATCCTCTCAGAGTTCGGGATTGGTTAATGAGTGTTTTTGCCGAATTTACGGGCTTTTCTCAAGAAGCTATCCACATTTGGACGTCGACTCCTAAAATTGCCTCACGATGTTAGTTATACGGCCGATACCCGAAATGCCACATTCGCGCCGTCCTACTCTCCCGGCTCGATTTAGGGAGACAACCGGCCCGTGTTTGGAAATCCCGCCGAACCTGTGACTGCAGAATTATACCTTATCTCACTCAGTGTCCCGCGGCTTCCATGGGCTAGTTGAATGCATGTAGCGACAACTTTCGCCGATCTAATGGTAGGAACTAAGATTCGATATCTTATTAGTGTTAATTCTCCCTGAAAACGTTGTATAATGACACTGAACAACGCCCACTGGAAAGAACTAGAAAGCTTCTAAACATTTTGTGACAAGTAAACTTACAATCTATGTTTTTAAATACTTTATTTGTTAGTTACGTAGTTATAACCTCTCAGAGTTTTTCATATCCGTAAGTTCTCGAATACGAGAATCTAAACCTTTATTTTACAAAAGTCTGTGTGTATCAGCTTATAATCCTGATCCTCCTATGTCATCCCCATGTGGTCCTATGAACGGACACGTCAGCTAATACCTTAATACTTTGTGACGTGACAATATTTAACTGTAGGATAAATGTTGACAATATATGTACGTAGGTTAACTATTAAAACTACACACGTATGTTTGTTTCAGAATTTTCATGTAAAGTACACAAGGGACTATCTATTCATAAAAATCATACCGTTTGCACAAGGCTAGCCATGCCGTGTAGTTGATACCGATCTTCGTGGCATACACTTTACAGCTCTAGACATTTCCCAAATCGAACTCGCGGTCGTCCTTCTAAGTGTCAAATACTCAATAACCACTGACTCAAGAAGGTGTGAGCGCGTATCCCTCCCTAAATTGGTAAACTAGAGGGAAGGCAATTTAATGAAGTAAACCCAAAGTAACTCATATCTGACCGAATATTGGGATCTAGCCATAACTTTAATCGCATTCACTGTCGCAAAATATGGAGGGCATTTTAATGGGAACGAACCACAAACAATGAGCACTCAAGTCAACAGTTTGAGCATGTTAACCAATAATACATACGTGTAAAGTGCAACTTGCTGATAACAGTTTCTGATCATTGTTCTTATATGTCAAGAATACGTTGTTAGAAATAACCTCGTAGGTGTGTTCTATTTTCTCAAGTTAAAATTAAAATACCATGTAACGTTTCTTGATGCAACGAAAGTTTTTAGTACAAGTATTATGTCAATAGATATAAACAGTTGACCTTACTTATTTCGGACGGCTAAACATGCACGTCCATCATCTGAATTGACATAATATTTGTATTAAGATCTTTCGTTGCATCAAGAATCGTTGCATGGTGATTTAATTCTTATATATTACGCATTGTTTAAACCAGTGGTTCAAAAACTCTTTAGTCTGAGGCTCCCTTGCTGTGAATAAAAAGTTTGAGCCCAACCTGTAATTTTAGTATGGTTAGTGAAAAACAGTGCCGTTGTAAAAATAATAACATTTTCTTTCGACGTACTGTATCATTTAATTAGTTCTACATAAATTTTATCTGCTTATTGTTTATTTAGAATTAAAATTAATTCAGCATCTTTGTTTTTGGCCCATTTTTTGGCGGCCTTCCCAGAAAAAGCTTCACGGTCCCCAGATGGGCCATGGCTCCCACTTTGGAAAACACTGGTTTAAACTATTAGTACGCTCGACATACGTTTTACAAGCAATTATCAAACGTTACCCGAAATAAAGTATTTAACATTTTGGACAAATAACCTAAATATTATCGTATTTAAGGTGAGTTTTGTAATTAGCAGTTTTGTTTGTTTTTAGTCAATCCAAAAGAGAGCTTCTTTTTAAGATTTCGTAAGAACACGCAGGAACAGATATATACATTATTTAAGTAATCTTCATATAAATTTCTTCTTTTCTGTTTAACTTTAAAATTTATCCTAATTGAATAATATCAGCTAAGACTTAAAACCAAATTTTGATACGTTTTATATTCGAGGTCTCAAGAAATTCTCCAGATCACTGGAGGATAATCTACAATCAAATGTTCCTGCTTTAGAACCGTATTTTAAAGCATTTAAATAGGGTATGAATAACAACTGTTACAAAAAGCGTACGATTTTAGCAATGCTATAGAACATAGAAGACGCTACGTTCGATTTTTACGTTTAATCTCATGACCCTTGATACTGCGCATAACTCAAGTGCGTGCATGCGTGTGTGACGTTACATCGCGGTGAGACTTAAAAGGATGTTTGGAGAGATATGGCTGCTGTACTCAAAGTACTGCGAACAGCTGCCAAACTTGGTCTTTGTCTTTGGAGTAAATCTCTACATTTTCATTATGGCTTGTACACACACACACACACCGAGCTCCTAATGCTAATATTCTGTACAAGAAGTATATAACTCTGGTTTGGAGTTTCCACATTATTTACACATGTACAAAAACGTTCGTTGCGACAGTTTACTGACTGATGCATTATTGTGATTGGTTCCCGTTCTGTTGCGTACGTAGCTTAGCGCAGGTTGAGTATTAACAGCAAATTCTGTAGTTTTATTTTAAATATACGAAGTTGAAAACACCACAGAGATCTAATAGTAATATTTTTCTTTCCACAGCCGAAACGGTGGTCCCTTCTACCAATAAGTCTGAACAAGGGATGTACCCCACTACCTCCCCTCAGCAAACCAGTACAACACAGAGAATTACGTATCGCCGTGCCGCCCCAACAGCCACGTCCCCTACCCATCAAGGAGCCCAGGGACAGATGGGAGGGTGGCTGGATCCCGAAAAAACCTCCGACTTTACACCTTTCCTAAATATACTCAGTCAGACTGCAGTTCCAGTCTCCTCACCAACACCACCTGGTCCAGGCCTTGGGACTCCTTCACCTGCACCATCTTCCCATTTCTCAGCTTCGCCCAGCCCCAGCACCTTTGAAACAGTCAGTGCCCCACCCCCGCCTTCTCTAGAAGTAATGGTTCAAGAGCACTTTTTCATTAGTCCTCAGGGACAAGAGCTACTACAGTTTGACACCAGCGGTGAGGGGCTCACCATGAGACAACCTCCAATGTACAGTAGTTGCGCTGGTCCTGAAGGGAACGTCGCAGCTCTTGTGGCGGCTACTGGGGGAATACCCCCACAGTCCATGATCGCCCAGCCAGGGATGGAACTAGTGCCCACATCAGGACAAAAATACCATTTGTCCAGTTCGTGCTTTAACGCTCCTGATTATGGAACTTTGACTGCTCTCCAACTCGGGGCAGGCCCTTCTAATGTGGTACCCAAACAGGAGCCAGTCTCTGAGAGTGGTTTCCTAACCGGGCCGGGCCCAGGGCTGGCAGATTACAACCAGGCTACTAGCAAAGGGCATGAGATCCTGAACCAGGCGTATCAGACCAGTCCGATGCCTTTCAAGCTGATTCCGGTAAAGCCACGCAAGTACCCCAACAGGCCAAGTAAGACACCAGTCCACGAACGGCCTTACGCCTGTCCTGTCGATGCTTGCGACCGACGGTTCTCTCGCAGTGATGAACTGACCCGCCATATCCGGATCCACACTGGACAAAAACCATTCCAGTGTCGAATCTGTATGAGATCATTCAGTAGAAGTGACCATCTGACCACGCACATCCGCACTCATACAGGTGAGAAGCCGTTTTCCTGTGATATGTGCGGGCGTAGATTTGCTCGTAGCGACGAGAAGAAGAGACACGCCAAGGTTCATTTGAAGCAGAAACAAAAGCGATCAGCGACTCAGAACCAGGCTAGCGAGGGTCCGAGTAGCACTATGTCTGTTTCTCAGAATAATCCCTCCACCAGTGCGGTTCCTAGCAGTTCTTTCTGTACGTCAGAAGGTGTGTCAGTGACTACCACTGCCCTGCAGTAAGCTTGACCACGATAGTGTCATCGTCAAACGAACGATAGGCCTCTTAGGTTTATTTACAGCAGTGCTCATTATAATGATCAATCTGTTCACTGTTTGCAGCCTAGAACAATAGTGGTACTAATAATTGTGAAAAACAGATGTAAAAGCTGAGCGAAAGGTGCGAGGGTGTTTTCTCTCTTTCTCTCTCTCTCTCTCTCTACTTATATGACTGAGTTATAAAGGTATATAACGTCACAATTCGTGCCTCGGAATTCATCGTTAAGACCAAATTAGATGTGTGTTCGAACAAACGGTGAGCACAGCACAAAATAAAACTGCTGAAGATTATTCGAAATTTGTAAAAAAAAACAACAACAAACAAAACAAAAAACAAACATTTACACCTGTTGCTATAAATGATTACTGCTGTTTAAAATGTTGTTTTAGTAATGAAATAAGATTCTCTTTCTATCTGATGTATATAAGTGCGTTTTATACAATAGAATTAAAAACAAGTGAATTGCAGGAGTACCTCAACTACTTGAAATCAAATTTATCATTGTTTTATCTATATATCACTTCATGCATATCCTTAGTTTCAACCTAAATTTCTAGGCCTAAACTTTAAACTAAAAATGTTATATCTTTATAAAACACCTCTTTATATTTAAGATAGAAAATTTTTAAATAGTTCTTGACTGATAGTATATTTTTCTGATTCTCTTGATCAAATATTTTAATAGTGTTTCCCAGGGCTTTCACCATCTTCAACACATATATATATATATAAACTTTTTTCTAACTTCGAGAGATTCATTCTACTACAACTTCATGAAGTGAAGTTTGACTTAACATTTTACATAAAAATGTAAACTTGATAATTTAAAATAACTATCTTTTAATTAAGCATAGTCGAAAGAATATTTTCAACAGTTGATACCACTCGGTTAATTTCAATTGGTTAATAGGGTTACCTCTCTCCTGTTTATACATTTTAAATAATTTCACACCTATCCTTTCTTAATAATGTATATATGTTTTTACAGAGTAAAGGAACTATTTTAAAGTTGTTCTTTTGACTGTTGATTGAAATTTGTGTTTGGATATGTGACAGATCACTGTTTGTTTCCTATAGATATGTGTAATGCTTAAAATTTTTCTATAAATGTTGATTCTTATAAATTTTGATCTAAGTCCATATTTAGAGTTGTACAGAAATATAACATTTTACTGCTTCACAAAATGAGAATGTTTTACATTTAGAAATGATGATGTTTTGTTGTTGTTTTTTTATGAAAACTGTTATTACTTCTGTGAAACAAGCCATTTCAAAACTACAGAACTATTTTCTACTTTCAAGATGCTTCTGTACCATTTACTTTAACTGTGATTATCAGTTGTGTCGTACAGATCAACCTGAACAACCTTTTGAAGTGCGCACAAAGTCAGTACCTTCATGTTCTGTCTCTAACGGCTATAAGCTATTAATATTTTCTCGGTGAATGCTTAAAAGATGGCATAGCTTGTTTTGTGGTAACTATGGTGTAAATAGTGTAATAATATCTTGACATTTAACTGTTTAGTTATGATTCCAGATATTAACCGTTACAAAATATTATTGTTCAAAGAAGAGGCGAATTGTCTCGCCTAATAGTAGTCACAAACTTGCGTGATTTGATTTGAATATTCTGTTGAATAAGTGAAATTTATTATTGTTGATTATGTATATGTGTATGAACTAGCTTTTTAAAATTTATAATGAATTGATTGTTTAATTATTGTATTAAACACGTGTTGTAAATTTAAATTTCCCTAAGTAATGTTTATTTGTTTGAATTGGCCATATTCTTTTTGATTCTGGCTCTCGGTGATTTAAAAATATTCAGAAAGACTAGTTTTTTGTTTGCTTCTTGTTTTTTTAACAGCATCATATGGGTTTTCTTGTTAAAGTAATGTTCGTTGGTCAATGTTAGTGACATAGTTTTATAACTTAGCACAAAACCCTTTTTTTTCTTCTTCTTTATAAGCAATATCAACTTTCTCGTGAAAGCACTTGCCTGAATCGGTATTTAGGTCGTAGTGGACGACCTGGGAGGGTCGGGAAAACTTTCTCGTGAAAGCACTTGTCTGAATCGGTATTTAGGTCGTAGTGGACGACCTGGGAGGGTCGGGAAAAATTTCTCATGAAATCGGAGTGTCCAAAAAGTAACTTGAAAAAACCGCCCTAAAGTGTGATTTTTGCATTTTTATTCGTCCCGCACGTGGCACAGTAATAACTGTTTTGATATTTATAAAGTACTCCAAGTACGTTTCTCAGATTATAAACAAAGCAAAATAAAACAAACTCATTTGACGACTGCTATTTCAATGTTGTACAATATTGTTTTTTTTTATTTGAAGTTTTTGTGTCTTTGTTTAGATTCTTAAAATGTACTTTTCTCCCCCAAGTTAAAAATTGTTTTTATCATGTGTTTGTTTCAACTTGTCTTGTGCTTTTTAGCGTTATTGTTCATGTGTGCTTTATTCCAATCTCGAGATGTGGTTGTCTCATGTCTTCTTTCAAACAAGAAATTGCTTGTTAAAATAATTCCCGTCTCAAAACTACTCTGAAGGAAGAGTTATGTATTTACTCAAGTTATTGTGCTATTAAAAGATATATATATAGTCTTCACAACTTTTTGTGGTCTGGGTTATTTCTAGTTCCAATCGCTACGTTCTTGTACTTTGTTCTACACGTTACTAAACTCCAAATACATTGGAACAAAAAACAAGTTTATCAGCAAAAAAAATAGAAATTATATATATATGACGAAAAACTGAGCGATATTTACTGCTCTATCATACATAATATTTCGAAGAACAAAACTCCTTAATATGCAATCGTTGAACGTTTTATAAAACCAAAACCTTTTTAATAATATAGTTAGTGGATCTTTCCTTGTGTCTCCCATTTGTTACCTAAAATTAAACCTAAAAAAGCAAAGCTCTGAAAGACTGAAAACACTTTCAATACAAGGAAACAAACAAAATATCACTATAAAGATTAAATAATTCTCAGAATACATTGCTAAACTCTTTTTATTGAATATTTCTAAAAAAAAATTCATTGGTGACTTACGGCTGATTTTACGATAACGTAGTTGGAGTAGTTGGAATGTATTTAATAGCTATTAATACTAAAAAAATCAAAACATTTATTAAAAACATTATTTATACTTATTACATCGTGATTGATTTTTTGTTTGCATAACTCCCCGTTTTGCTAAAAAAACAGTGGAGGTTAAGTTTATTTTTACCTTAAAGAAACTGAAAAAAATTACCTTAAAATTTTCAAGGAATACTTATTAGTAACAAATGGTTTATTTAGTTTAAATTCGGTCATTCTAAATCCTTTATTGCTCATAACAGATTTTCGAGAGTGTATTTTTTATAGAGATTCTTTTAATTAAACTTCTAAACCAAGGGTATACATTTATATAAGTATACTTTGGTTGGACTTTATGAATTTTAACATTTTTTTAAAAGATTGTCTATATAATCTATCCTACCATTTTGATTATTTTATAATTTGTTTAAAGTAACCCTTGGTCACAAGGCTAAAAATACTCGTCATTATATAAATTTCTATGTCCGTCCCAATGCCTTCTACGCAGTAACAAAATTGAACAAACAGGCTTCTTTTTCTCAATGTATTTTTTTCAATAACAAAACCGGGCAAACATATACAGTTCAATGTATTTTACTGCATGTTTTACTCGGTAACGAATTTGGCCAAGCTGACATGTTTTCATATCTTTTTATGTTGCATGTTACAGAACCAGACAAACGGATAGCTTTGGAATCTATTAGATTAATTTTATATAAGCGTTTTTTTTCATGTTCTGTGTAGTATTGAAATCAGGAAAAAATGTATTTTTATGTGCTGTAACGTGTTCTACGTAGAAACGAACATATATCATTTTAAAGCATATCATATGGTAACAAAATCAAACATGCAACATTTTAATGGGTTCTATGGACTAAAACAATTGTGCTAACCTAGTTTTAAAATCAGGCAAACATATATTTTCTTACTTGCTCTGTTCTCTATAATAACAAAACCAGGCAATATAATATTTTTATGTGTTCTGTGTTCTAACGAAAATAGACGCCTTGCCACCTTGAATGTTATTTATCTTAGAAAAAAAAATTTAATGTAATGCAAACTTAAATTCTACTCCAATGAAATTTAACCTTTCCTTCACTTTTCTTCCAGCACATAGTACTTATATTATATGGATAAATTCAAAGCTAGTGAACTTACAAAAAATTATCTGCTTTTAAAGTTACATTAATTACCATTAGTGCATGTAAAACTCTAATTATACAATTAAACCTTGTAGGCAGTAGAACCTGAACGTTACTTTACTTCAACTACACAGCTATTTTTATCCGTATTATTAAGTACATTGTATATACCGCCAGAGCCAACTTAATTTAATCGTTTTTAAAGTATCGTGATGAGATATCATAAAGAAACAGGAAATATTTTTGATATTACACTTGACATCGCAAACATTTTAGAATTCTGAAAAATCTAAACTGTTAACTACAAAACCAAAATATTGAGAAGTACTTACTCACCTGTACGCTTAAAATGAAAGTCGTATATCATGGAAATGAAGAATTTAGAAAATCAGCAGTATAAAGAATCGCTAACAATCAAGCTGAAACACGGAAAACCAATGTTGCTTTCCTTTCATTTTATATTAATCTGGAGCCCCAATTCTTTATTTACTTATTACAGTAATTACTAAAGATATACAAACTATATTACGATCAACAGTGAAGTAAAGAAACACTGGATTTAACTATATGATTTTGTAAATTACATTAAGCAATCTTGTATTTTCGTTCTGCCGCTTAGAATGGCATATGACGTCATCATCATGTAAGACCTATAATAAAAGACTTCTTTTTTTTCATATTTATGTACGTTAACATTTATATCAGTTTTGTTCCACTATTTAAGCTTAGTCCAGAGCTAATAAGCTCAAGAGATATGTTATTTTTAATTTCCTGCAATATTTTTAGGAGTTGCACTGATTTAGTTTATAGTCTTTATATATATCGCTTAAGGCTGCTGAAAACAAGAACGAAATGGGCTCACATGTATTAAAGAGTTTGTTTAAAAATTATTTTAGGCAAATATCCTTACACGATACTCAAAAATGTCAGTTTCACGTTTCCACTTTCGCGGTAGTTTGACGAGAAAACTTGCAACAGTTCCAGACATTACCTTATCAGCTTTATGTTTCTTTTTCTCTTTTTCGCATTTTGAGAATAAAAAACAAATCCTACTTGCTAATTGGTTTAAATCACAAGTGACAGATTACCTTCAATTAAACTTTGAGAGAAGCATATTAGTTAGTTTAACTCCTAAATAATTTAGTTTCTCCAACTCTTGACGACTATCCTACTGAGGATAATATAACTCACAATCACAAAATAGTTAAGGACTATCTCAGAATAATATAACACATATTCGCAAGAGAGTTAAGGACTATCCCAGTATAGTATAACACACGTTCAGAACAGAGTTAAGGACTATCTCACTATGATATAACTCACATTCAGAACAGAGTTAAGAACTATTCCAGTACAATGTAAAACACATTCACAATACATTCAAGGACTATTCCAGTATATTATAACATATATTCACAACCTAGTTAAGTGCATTGCAGTATGATATCACAACATAGTTAAGGACTATCTTAGTATAATATAACACACATTCACAATACAGTTAAGGATACTGCAAAATTATATCACAAATATCCACAACAGAGTTAACGACTATCTGAGTTTAATATAACACACCTTTACAACAGAAATAAGGATTATCCCAGTATAATATAATACACTTTCACAACATAGCTAAAGACTATCCTAGTATAATATAACACATGTTCACAACAGAGTTAAGGATTATCTCAGAATAATATAACGTACATTCACAATAGAGTTAAGGAATATTCCAGGATAATATAACACGTATTCAAGACAGAGTTAACGACTATCCTGGTATAATATAACACACATTCAGAACAGAATTAAGAACAATTCCAGTATAATATAACACACCTTCACAACAGAGTTAAGGACTATCCCAGGATAGTATAACAGACATTCACAACAGAGTTAAGGACTATCCTAGTATAATATAACACATATTCACAACACAGTTAAGGACATTGCAATATTATATCAGAAATATTCACAACAGAGTTAACGACTATCTGAGTTTAATATAACGTACATTTACAACAAAGATAAGGACTATCCCAGTATAATATAACACACATTCACAACATAGCAAAATATTTTCCCAGTATAATATAACACACTTTCACAACATAGCTAAATACTATCTCAGTATAGTATAACACACATTCACAACAGAATTATGGACTATCCCTGTATAATATAACAGGCATTCACAACAGAGTTACGGACTATCTCAGTGTAATATAACACATATTCACAACCGAGTTAAGGACTATCCCAGTATAAAATAACACACATTCACAACGAACTTAAGGACTATCCCAGTATAATATAACTTTCACAATTAAATATAACAATTAAAAGTTAGCGGATATACGGTTATTTGCTTGTGTTTCTTTTTATGTCTTCCTTTGGTAAACTTTTTTCTTATGTCTTGGGTTGCCGCCTGAACAGTTCTAAAATAATGAGCATTTTTGTTGGTGTTTGATAATTTTCAACACTTTTACCAAGTTGGAAACCAAGGTTTAAAGATACAATGGTGCACCTCATTGATAAAATAAGAAACAAATAGCGTTTCTTCTTACCCGAAACAGAACACTGCATTTTATTACTGAATATGGAACAGTTCAGTAAAATACGTAGCTTGTGTCAACCCTGCTTATGACTGTTGCACTGAATAATGAACTAAATAATAGTTATGTAAAATACGTAGCTTGTGTCAACCCTGCTTGCATGACTGTTATGCAGCTGAATAATGAACTAAATAATAGTTATGTAAAATACGTAGCTTGTGTCAACCCTGCTTATGACTGTTGCACTGCAGTGCAGCAGTCATAAATATAGTGACACAAGCTACGTATTTTACATAACTATTATTTAGTTCATTATTCAGTGCAACAGTCATAAGCAGGGTTGACACAAGCTACGTATTTTACATAACTATTATTTAGTTCATTATTTGAATTAAGTAATAATTATTTAAAATAGTAATAGTTATGTAAGATCCGTAATAGCTGTCAACCCTACTTGTAACTCTTGCACTGAATAATGAACTAAGTAGCAGTTCCGTAATGTACGTAGCAGATGTCAACCTGATTTATGACTATTGCACTGAATAATGAACTAAGTAGCAGTTCTGTAAGATAGCAATAGTTATGTAATATACGTAACAGGTGTCAGTCCTAGTCATGACTGTCACACTAAATAACGAACTAAGTAATAATTCTGTAAATTAATAATAGTTATGTAAAATACGTAACAGGTGTCAACTCTACTTATGACTGCTGAACTGAGTAATAGTTCTGTAACATAGATACAGTTATGTAAAATACATAACAGGTGTCAACCGTACTTGTGAATTTGTACTGAATAATGAACTAAGTAAAAATTCCGTAC